CTGTACCAAAACCCATTTATACAGCTTGAAAAACTGTACTAACATTGCATTACATTTATAGGTAGAGTTGGCGTTACAGACCAGTAAGACCTTAATCATTTTGCTCATTATTATCATCGAAATGCCTGATAATTTCCGATACTAAACCCGTTGGCCGGCTTTCTAAAAGAGCCACTTCTCCATCAAAATGCAGATAATGATTTGCAATTATTTTAGTATGTCCCAAAATCATTCTTACTGATGTATAATTTCCTTATTTAGCAACAATATTTCAAAGCCTAGACGGATCGTGTTATGTGTTGGATGATGAAAATTTATTAGCACAACTTACAGCTGTAATTATCACTTGGGATATATTTTTGAACAAAAACGCACTGTTTATTTTCAACTGTGAATTGACCAAATACTTATTTATTGGCATGATTTTTACAATTTTGAAAGATTGGGACACAAATTACGATTTTATCAAAGTTATTTATCCTGTTTTAACTTCAGAATTTTTCAAAAAAGTTTCTTAATAACATTTCGACGAAAGGGTTCTCTACACTTTTTATGCAATATATTGTTAAAATACATATTTATTAGAATAATGGTGCAAAGTCCAATAAAAAGCAAAGAGGAAAGTTTGATTAATTCATGAATATATCAAGCAGCAAATACTTGATACAAAGGAACTTGAAACAGATTTATTTTTTTGTGGGAATTACTCTTCAGCTCTGGAGCCATTAATAAACTATTAGGTTTAATTATGGAGAGTCATTTTCCGCATAAATGTATGTCCAGAGAGAAAAGAAATACTTTTGTGTTGCAAAGGAACTAATCATTATAAGTAACTTATCAATTAAATACTGTAGCGCCATCCAATTTTATTAATCAATTAACCACAACAAGTTTTTTTGATGGAAAAATAAGCGAGAAACGCCACTTTTTGCAAATATTATTTGTTGCATCATTCATTTGAAAAAAATTCCGGTGTCATCACGCAATGCAATATGTTATTAACTTTTAAGCGTATTGGATAGGGCTGTTATAATGTATTAGAAGCAATTATATTCCGACATCATGGCAAAAGCGTCAATTGAACAGTGCACTTAATTGAATTCAATTAAAAACCAATTAAGGGCTTTAGTTTGTTTTCGAGAATTTCATCCATTATTTTCTCGTTGTAGATTATTGGAATGATACCAGAAAATTGTGGAAAAAGGATAAATGTTTATAAAATAACAGCTACTTCAGGTGATACTGAAAATGTTGTCTAAGTTTCTTGTTTTAAACACACTGGTGAGTTGTTCAACTTCGTTGAACAAAGAATACAATAAGAATGTCCATTTTGAACTGGTAGTTTTCTTGATTTGCTGTTGGGGGAAAAGTTGCTCAAGAAACATTTGAGCCACAGAATTCGTTTTGGCATCGTTGGATCGAGAATTGAAAATTCGATTCAGTCATAACAACATGAGTGAGGAAATTCGACTAGTTTTGACCCAGAAAGCGAAATTTGAATATCAAACATTTAGATGCAAGATTACAAGATTGCAAGCCAAAATTACATGTTTTTCTTCACACTTTTGCTCAATTCTCGGAAGCAAAATGAGCAATTTAGGAAGTTAGGAAGAAATTCCGATAGACCACGGCACCAAAGCCCGGAAAACATTCCTAAATGTAATTTGACCGGCTGTGAAAGCCTTCATAGTCTGATAAAATGAGCAATAACGCTAATTTTTACATAATTTCTTAGAGAACAAAATTACCTTTTTAGAAAGTGAACCATCGATCAGGAAATGTTTACAGTTTTCTCAAAAAAGTCTTGATTTCAAGAAGTTTTAGATTAGCGTGTTTTTTTTAGTTGCCAAATCGACTGAAACATGACGCTGCTTTTTTCGAAGTTTCTCAATGACTATTTCAGCCACAACATTCGTTTTGGCATTGTTGGATAGAGAATTGAAAATTCGAGAAACGCAATTGAATTAGTTTTGACCCACAAAATAAAATTTGAATATCAGACATTTAGGTGCAAGATTATGCCAAAATTTCATGTTTTTCGTGCCGCTTTTGTTCATTTCTCGGAAACAAAATGAGCAAGAACGCTCATTTTAACATTGTTCCAGAGAGAACTAAATGGCCTTTTTAGAAAGTAAACCATCGATAAGGAAATGTCGGCAGTTTTCTAAAAAAAGTCTTCATTTCAAGAAGTTTGAGATTTGCATGTCTTTGTTTGAGTTGCAAAATCGACTCAAACATGACGTTGAGTTTTTCGAAGTTTCTCAGCAACTATTCGAGCCACAGAATTCGCTTTAACATCGTTGGATAGAGAATTGAAAATTCGAATAAGTCATAACAATGCTCCCCTAATGCCTTTGCCTCCCTAATCTGAGTATTATTTTTCTTTTCCAATTTTAGCACCACTATTGGGCTAGTTAAAGGTGAAATAATCATGAAACATTCTGTACATACAAAATTTAACTTTGCGGCCGGACAGGCTGAGTAAATTAAGCAGTCGATTGTTAGTACTTGCCGCTTGGTGTCTACATTCATATCTTAATCACTTTCAGCAAACCGGAACCTACTTGAAAATGTAATTTAAAAAAGAAGGTCAATTTCGATGTTATTTAAAACATGAGGGATAAAAGGTTGTTAGCCACACGTGCGCTAGCACATTAATCCTCCAATGTGTTACAACAAATTTTTGATTAATTATTAACAGGCGAGCTTAAGTTTTCACAACGAATCTTGATTCCATCTTTGCGGCAAGTACAAACTACAGAAAAAAATACCGACAAATGTTGATTGATTGTTTAGAATATTATTTAGGGCAATACACGTTAAGTTACATTTAGACACGTGAAAAGGATTGGTTAAAAGTAAAGTTTCACTCCAAAGTAGGTTCAGTGAAGATCCAATCTATTGCTAATTAATTCGGTAATGAAAATTACTAATGAATTGTAAACGCCACGTGCCAAGTAAACGATCCAATGAAAGGTATGCAAATAACCCAGAGTAGCTGTGAGAAAAAACAAGAAATTTTTCCTAAATAACTTTTGCTTGTTTTAGGCTTTTCTAATGATGTCATTCTTATTTGGTCTATTTTTCCTTTTCTTTTCCGCCGTTTTTTTTTGTGTTGCACACGTTTGCCATCTCTCTGTCAACGCGCTAGATAATCTCAATTAATGGGCGACGTTAGAAAAGATGCTCAAACTTTTGCGAAAAGCACAATTATTGTGCATCTTTTGCATACCTAAAACAAGATTTAGCAGCAAATAGCACCGGACAATATCATTTTCGTGCATAAGTAAGTGGTTTTGGAAAAGCGAATTTCTAAAGTTTGTAAGTTAGTTTTTTTTGGCTTAATTTATGGACCATCCAGGAATTTTTCCGCTGAAATTAATTTTACGTGTTCTTTAAGGTAAAAAAAGAAATTTGAGGGGACATTTTGAAGCACCTTAAGACTTTTTAAAAATCGGTTTACTTGATGCATAACAGTCAATTGAGTATACTTTACTTTTGTCGGATGACAAAAATTTTGCGATTAAACTGCTGTTAACTTTAGTGATTTGCGAGGTTCTGCTAATTCCATAAAATTTTTGAAATTGCACTTGCAGAAGTCCTTCATTCAAATCCATAATGACTATCTAATAAACAATTTGCTTCTTGAGGAGTCAGAAAGCTGATTTTCTTATGAATGAATTCAAAACATCATGGGTGTATGATGAGAACAGGAAATTGCTATGTTCGTCAGACTTTTTATAAGAATCCTCATCAATTAAATGCAACTTTGCCAGTTCAGGCGATATCACAAAGGTATTTTGAATTTTTTAAATAAAACTAAACATAAAACGCTTTAAAATTTAGTAGATGCCATCATTCTGCAAATGTCTTTTAAATTAAAATCAAATCCTGGGTTCTTCAGTCATTTATTGT